GGGGGGGGGGGGGGGGGGTGTTAAACTATGAGAAAAGAAAGCGCAGGGATGTATTCTCTCGTCCGAGGGTAATCTTTGGGACAAAATAGCCCCAACCCCCACCTCTGACACATCCACCTCCACAATGAACTGACGAGATGGGTCAGGTGTGGTTAAAATGGGAGACGAAACGAAGCGACTCTTAAGATTCTCAAACGCAGTCTGAGCCTGCGATGACCAACCATAACGTTTCCTAGTGGAGGTGAGATCAGTCAGAGGAAGGGCGACCTGACTAAATTTCTGAATGAACCGCCTGTAAAAATTGGCAAACCCCAGAAATCGCTGGACCACTCTACGACAATCTGTGGTGGACCAATAAGCAACTGCTTTTACCTTGGCAAGATCCAATTGGATACCCTCGGGAGAGAGGATAAATCCCAGGAATGGAACCGACCGTCTGTGAAACTCGCACTTCTCCACCCTGGCGAATAAACGATTCTCAAGTAGCCACTGGAGCACTTGCCTGACGTGCTGGACATGATCGTGTTTGTTCTGGGAGAAGATCAGAATATCGTCCAGGTAAACAAAGACAAACCGGTTGACCATGTCTCTGAGCACATCATTGACGAGTGCCTGGAAGACCGCCGGAGAGTTTCCTGCAAGAGCTCGAAGATGGATGACATCAATGGCAAAGGATAACGATTCTTCACTATGATGTCATTCATCCCCCGATAGTCTATGCAGGGGTGCAACGAACCATCCTTCTCCACGAAGAAGAAGAGGACCGCAGAGGAAGAGGGTCGGATGATGCCTGCTACCTGAGAATCGTGAATATACCTCGTCATGGCCTCCCTCTCAGGAGCGGACAGAAAGTAAAGGCGCCCCTTAGGAGCAGAAGTGCCAGGCAACAGGTCTATCGCACAGTCGTACAGGCAGTGCGGAGGCAGAGATGAAGCTCGGGACTTACTGAAAACCACTCTCAAGTCATGGTAAGCCTCTGGCACACCCGCCAGGTTCACCGGCTCCTCCTGCAACAAAGAACGAGGCATAACAGGGGAGAATGCATCACCCAAACATTGAGCTAAACAAAAAGGGTTCCAAGTTAAAACAGAGTTGAGAGCCCAGTCAATGTGAGGATTATGTTTGACTAGCCAGGTGTGCCCCAAAACCACTTGGGCGGTGGGTGAGTGAATAAGGAGAAAACGGATCTCCTCGACACGATTGCCGGAGAGCGTGAGTGTAACGAACTTAGTAATGTGGGTAATTCTGGAAAGAAGGGTGCCACAAAGTGTTCTGGCCAATATAGGCTCGGCCAGAGCAACGGAAGGAATCCCCAACCGCGTGGCCAGCCCGGCATCCATGAAATTGCCCTCTGCTCCGGAGTCAATCAACGCAGACACTTGATAAGCAGCCCCCTTGACCAGCAATGAGGCTTGAAACTCAGACTGACCACCAGAGGGCAATCGAGCTCTAGTAACGCTCACCTTCTGCCCTCCCTTGAGTGGTAAGCGCTGCCTAGCGCTCTCCCAACCTGCATAGGCTCATCCTCTGGGAAGTCGAGACGTTGAGATGGCATGTCACTAGACGCTGCAGACACAGCTCTAATACCGGGCTCGAGATAAACCACGCCCCTCCGATGCCAGGAACGGAGAGCAATATGGTTATCCACCTGAATGGCGAGGTCGATGAGTCCATCAAGGCTCGAGGGTAATTCAAGGGAATAGATTTCATCCTTGATATGCTCGGCCAGACCGTGGAGAAAGTGATCACAAAGAGCCTTGTCGTTCCAGCCACAGGATGCAGCGAGCGTGCAAAACTCGATCGAGTAACTGGATACTGAACCTTCTCCCTGCCGTAGCAGAGCCAAGGCTCGTGCCGCTTCAGTTCCCTGAGCCGAGAGATCAAACACCTTGCGTAGTTCCTCCGAGAAACTCTCAAAGGAGGAACAGCAGTTGTGGTCGTTATCCCACATGGCCGTTCCCCACTCTCTCGCTAGACCCACCAAGAGCGTGATGGTGAAAGCTACCTTGGACCGCTCCGTGGGAAAACAGGAAGGCTGCAGCGAGAAAATCAGAGAGCATTGGGAACGACACATGTTAGGTTCACCCAAGTAAGGAGCAGGAGGATTGAGCTGCGATTCAGTGTGATGGTTACTAGTTCCATCGGGATCGGGAGAAGGGGTTACCGTAGGAGCCCTGGGAGGGCTGGTGTGTAGCTGATCAAACCATTCAACCAGCTGGTTCAGCTGGAAAGAGATCTCGGAATAAGCGCTGCGGGAAGCTGCGATTCCCTCCTGATGTCGACCCAGAAGAACGTCCTGCTGCATAAGGGCTCGGCGCATCTCATCCTCCTCTGCTGTGTCCATAATATCTGGTGAGTAGATTCTGTGATGGGACAAGGAGAACAGAGGACTCAAAGCCAGAGGATTAGAAGCAACACCACTACTCCTGTACCCAGGAGTAAAACTAAACGTCATGAACTCTCCTTTATTCCCCATGTTTTAAAATTGTTGGATAATCACAGGTGGAAGAGAAGCAGCTCATGATCCACGCAGCCCCACCGCCAGATCAGCGCTGATTGCACCAGTCACGAGCCGCCGAAAAAGACATGACAACACAGACAGCAGAGGGAGCCATGAAGGCACCCTGACCCATGACAGTACCCCTCCCCTCAGGGACGCCTCCTGGCATCCCTGGAGGACTCACCATGACACCGATGGAACTGGTCGATGAGAGCGTGATCCAGAATGTCACGAGCCGGAACCCAGCATCTCTCCTCCGAACCATAACCCTCCCAGTCTACCAGGTATTGTGACCTCTACCCCTACGCCTCACATCGATTAGCCGCCGTACCGTATAAGCCGGCGGTGGGGGGGCAGAGGTCTGGGGCTATGAAGGCACCCTGACCCATGACACAAATTACATCATAATGTTTTCTTTCAACGTTACGTATATCAAATATGAATAAAGTTGTAACAATGTTCCATAAACATTACTTTAAGAATGTTTTGTCCTAACATTTATATAACTTTTAGAAACCATTACTGAAAGTTGTGAGCACGTTCTCTGTCAACTGACACACACACACACACACACACACACACACACACACCTGAATCACGGCAGGGCGAGTGTGGACACCTGACGTGTTTGAGACAGCGACAGGAGCACACTAGTGTGATAATCAGCACATGTGAAGCTGTTTTCAGCTGAAAATTTATTTATGAAGAACAATTAATACCAACATTAATATTATCAAACAAATACACAAGTTAGAGTAAAAAAAAAAGTTTTTCAAAACAAACGTTAATGTTGGCTTGAGAAATCCTGGCCAAACGTTTAAAGGTGTTTGAAAAGTGTAAAGTTTGAAGGCCATCAGTCATGAAACAAACAGATATAGACAGATGGTCAGATAGTCACCTCCATTTCTAGAGTCCTTTATACAGTAGAGAATGTTTCAAATCAGCTTTACAGATCAGTATGAAGATGATGTTGATTTTCTCAGCACAAACTGATCTCCCAGTTCACATGTACGTCGAATCAAACTCCAGCAGAAGCATGAATGTTGTTTTTCCGGTTGGTCCAGCTAACGCTCACGCTACAGCAGAGTGTGTGTGTGTGTGTGTCTGCAGGCCGCACGGAACTGCCTGGTGAACGAGAGGAATGTGGTGAAGGTGTGCGACTTCGGCATGACCAGGTCAGAGTACTAACCAGCGCCTAAACCTAACCTTAACCCTAACCCTTACCCACCTTCAGTTCTCACCACACTTCCTCAACATCCACCTTCTGATCTCTGGCACATTTTCTAAAACATTTTAGTTGGGTGTTCGTCTAACGTCTTTTAAATGTTACTACTTGTTACAGAACATGCAAAAGTAACATTCCCATAATGATTCAACTGATCAATGCTAAATGGAATGTTCCCTAAGCGGTCGTTCACACAGAACACGTTTTTCCATTCCAATGCGCTACACTTTCATTGTTTTTCTATGTAAACATGTGCTAGATGGACGTGTGTGACCGTTGCACATGACGCCGTGTCAAGTTTTAACTTTAAAAAGAATTTTCAAAGAATTTCAACTTTTCCACGCCACGCCGCTCATCAATGTCAGTTTCAGAACAGTGGACCAATCAGAAGACCCCGGAGGCGGGGCAAGTGTTGCGAGCTTCTGTTTACAGTAGCATGTTGGCATGGCAACGGTTTTATTTGATGGCAGCATGGCAGAGGCAGTCGTAGTGGCTGTGTGCGAATACCCTGAATGATGAACATTTCTTCAAGCCATTATCAAGAGAGTCTGGAGAGAAATATTTCAGTTATTGCATCACGTCTCGAGACCCTCGTGTTCTGCACTGCACTTTTTTAAAAAACCATTCTTGAACACTGCGTTCTGTGTGAACAGCCCCTTAATGTTCTTGTTTTAATGTTTTTAAAGCATTTAAAAACCTGATGTTTTGTACATTCAGAATAACGTTTTCATAATATAATGGGAATGTTAGCAAAACGTTGTTAGAACGTATTTTTCTGTCAACTGAGAAGAAGAGCCAGTCGTGTAACAGTCTAGTTGTTTGCTTTGAAGAAACAGTATCCGGACGACCTTCCTATTCCGGACGTCACATCAGTATCATGTTTTGGAGAATGTTTTAAATGCTCCGCTGTGGCATAAATGAGCTGAACGTAAGTGAAGGTTTCCTTCGGCTGACGGGGTCTGTTCCCGCAGGTACGTTCTGGACAATCAGTACACCAGCTCCATGGGCTCCAGGTTCCCCGTCAAATGGTCTCCACCGGAAGTTCTTCACTTCAACAAGTTCAGCAACAAGTCAGACGTCTGGTCATTTGGTGAGGACTGGAGGTCAGAGGTCAGGACTCGTGTGTGTGTGTTGTGTGTGTGTGTGTTGATGCGTGTGTGTTTGTGTGAACAGGCATGCTGATGTGGGAGGTTTTCTCGGAGGGAAAGACGCCATTTGAGAACCGCTCCAATCTGGAGGTGGTGGAGGAGGTGACGCAGGGCGGCCGTCTCTACAGGCCTCACCGGGCATCTGCACACATCTACAACATCATGTACCGCTGCTGGCACGAGGTGAGACACACACACACACACACACACACACACACAGACAGACACACTTCACAATCCATACACTACATGACTCCTGCACAGATTTTCCTTCATTCACTGAACGAGTTGACAGTAGTTACCGGATGTCGCTCAGTCTGAAGACTTGAGTTGACAGATTCTCTGATCTTCAGACTCTGATTCCATCCAGTTAGAGGAGATCAAACATGTGTGATGTTTTCATTCCTCAGTTGTTTAGTAAACAACGGCCAGTTTTACAAAGTCAGCAAGCGTATGATTACTTGACATCATCACAGCACTCAGAATAATTACATTAGTGCTGCGTGTGTGTGTGTGTGTGTGTGTGTGTTTCTTGTTTTCAGAGACCTCATGGACGACCATCTTTTTCTGAGCTACTGCAGATTATCAGACTGATCACTGAAGAGGAGACGGACACATGAACACACACACACTCACACTCACACACACACACACACACACACACACACACAAGTTCAGAGGACTTCTGAGGACATCTGTTGATCTTCAGCATGAGCCGATGTGTGTGTATGTGTGTGTGTGTGTGTGTGTGTTTGATGAACTGACATCTTACAGTCATTAGTGAGATAATGAGATGCTTTGTATATGTACATTGTAAAAATGCAACTTCATATCAGTCTGTAAACTTCACAAGCACCTGTGGACATGAATAAAGATGCTTGATGCGCTGTCACTGTGTGTGTGTGTGTGTGTGTGTGTGTGTGTGTGTGCGCGTGTGTGCGTGCGTGCGTGCGTGCGTGCATGCGTTCGAGCGAGCGAGCGAGCGAGTGTGTGTGTGTGTGTGTGTGTGTGTGTGTGTGTGCGTGTGTCTCTGTGTGTGTGTGTGTGTGTGTGTGTGTGTGTGTGTGTGTGTGTGTGTGTGTGCGTGTG